TCATGCAAATGTAACAAATAAAAAAGCATAACACATCACATAACAATTAGTGGGCCGACCTTGGTGCCTTAGACCCATTGGTATGGTGAGGAGACTCACCTCTGTCTGCTGAATACAAAAGTTACTCTCCTAACAGTCTGAAACCTCCCAAGCTGAATAATAATATTAATTAATTGTCAGGACCTTACCTAATCATAAGAAACCCAAATTTCAAACCATACCATGAGGCCCAATTATTCTCCCCTTACTAATGGGCCCAAAGTCCAGATCTAAATCATTAATGGGCCTCTTGGCCCAATAAGGCCCAACCAATATATCCATGACCCATAACAGATGATATGACTCATAATTCCCAGAATACAACCATGCCCAATAATCAAATGAGGCCTAAAAGCTAAAAAGCCTAAAACAGATTCGGCCCAACTGTGATGCGTACGCTCGGCGTACCATCCTGGTACGCGCAGCGTACTGGGGTCTTGGGACTACGCGCGGCGTACACTGGGTTACGCCCAGCGTACTACCAGATTAAGCACTTTCTCCATTAAGTTCTTAGTACTTGTTTCCTTTACGTCCAAAAGCCAGATCTAAGTTCGTTAAGACGTCCTAAGGCATAAAGTTGGCAACTTTATGCCTTTGCATGCCATATATGCACCCAACACCCCCATTAAGACCTTTCCAAGGCTCTTAACCCATGCATGAGGTCCAAAATCCCACCAAGACTCCATTTTTATGACACTAAAGGACCAAGGGACCTCAGATCTGTCATTCCCATCTTCTGGAGTTGCTAAACTCACAAATGGAGGTCCAAAATCCACAAAAGGAACAAATCTAGAAAACCCTAGCTAGATCTAGAGACTTAAGTGGAAAGGTGCAAGCTTTTTACCTCCAGGAGCTTTGCAAGATGACCAATATGCAGATTCTTGAAGCACCAACTCGAACGAAGCTTGTTTAGCAACTCCTCCTTCTTGAAAGAACTCTAAAATGGCCACAAAACTCACTCCTTAAGCTCCAAAACCCTCACACACACTATCACAGCTGAAAGTAGATGAAAAGAGGCTAAAGAGGCTGATAGGGTTTGGTCCAAGGGGCTAATAAATGTTTAAATAGGGAACAAGTCCGAGATTTAGGATTTTGGACCCCTGTCATGTACGCCCAACGTACTGCTGGTATGCCCAGCGTACGTCCAGCTCCTCCGCGACCATCCATACATAGTACGCTAAGCGTACACTTAAGTACGCCCAGCGTACTTAAAGGACCAATCATAAAAAAAGTAAATTCTTGAGAGTTTCAAGTCGTACCTGATTTCGGGTGTTACACTTCTCCAACCGGTGCATGTAATCCTTACCCCCTCATGTATGAAAATCTTGGTTAGATATGGGTTCATCGCCTCAACTAATCCAACTTGCTCAAGCCATTCCCAGTTCACCTCATTCGCAATGTAAAATTCCCTGGCTTTCAACTTCTCCAGCTTGTTCCTCCATTCTGCTAGAACCCATGGAGAAACAACTTCCGGGAAGTTGCACCACGGAAAATCCTCTTGATCTCGTGGAGCTTGTTGACCTCTTTGTACTCTCCTCATATTTTCTGCACAAATAAACAACACAACAGAAAACCAAAAGCCAAAAGAAGTTAAAAATAAAATTTTCAGCAAAACTGGGCTCTCTGAACATTAAACATGTCGTGTTGTATGAGCAACACACTGTGTTCGACGAACACTTCGTGTAAAAAATTCTGATTCGAACCCATACGACCAAATTAACACAAAACAAGTTCAGGGTTTTGTTTAGAACACTATATTATGCACAAAATCACAAGAAAATCCGATTGAAACACCTTAATTTAAACAAAATCGGAACCCTAGAAATTTATGCAAAGTTCCTAAAATTCATTCTAATATTGCAATTTTGACAAAAAAAAAACCTTGAATATCCTTAATTAAACAAGTTTGGGTGAGAAAAATCTAACCTTTTCGTGTAGAAATCAAAGCAAAAACCAAAGGAGTAGAGATTCAAGGATGCTTTAGGGAACTCGGCGTGTTCTGGGGGTGATAGGTGAAAAGTGAAAAACGATTTTGCCTTTTAGGGTTAAAGAAATCCTTCTAAATGAGTTAAAAAATTATATATTTTCGGTAACTGAAAAGGAAACACGCCGTGTTGGGGCACCCCAACACGCCGTGTTGAAACGGGTTTCTGAAAAAATCGCAAAAAATTACCCAAACACGGCGTGTGAACAGCTCATACACGCCGTGTTGGGTGTTCAGAACAAAAATCTTTATGTTTTCTTTTTAAATTGTTTACCACACCCCACACTTAACCCTTGCTTGCCCTCCAACAACGTTTGAATTATTTAGAAGACTAAGATTAAAAATCCTTAACAAAACACTTTGAAATAAAGGAAATAAAAGACAAAAACGAAAAGAAAGAAAAAGGGAAAAGAAAGCAAACTCAAACAACGGGTTGCCTCCCGCAAGCGCTTCTTTTTGTGCGAGTCTTGATCTGGACTCTCAACTTAATAAACTTCTAACAAACTCAATTCTAATCCATCCGTTGCATTAAATACTTTTCTTAGACCAATTTGTAAAATTTGGCTCTTTGCCTCTAACATTGGCCAAACGAGCTTGCATTCATAAAACCCAAGAATGTTGAAAAGGGTTGGGACTGGTTGGATACTAATCAGAAACGGATCGTACTTCAGAACCATCTCCAAAGTTGGAGTCGTCACCCCATGCTTCGAAGCACAAACCGGAAAAACAGAGGGCCACGTCGTGGTTCCTACAATTCAGCTTGTTCTTGTTTTTCGTCTGACCCCTCTGCCAGCAACCTTTCCAGTTCCTCCAAATCTCTTTCTGGATTAAATTCTTCATCTTTTAATTCTAGCTCTTAGAAATCAGATTTCTCTTGTTTGTTAGGCAAGATGTTATCTAACCATCTTCCTAAGTTCCCCGACAACGGCGCCAAAAACTTGATACGTGTTGAATGTACTAGTTTTAATCCTAACTAACTTAAACAAAAACAAACACACGGTAGGCAGTGTACCAATCAATTAGTAGTTTAGTTGGAAAGTAAGGTATCGAACACAGGGAACGGTAAAACAATTAAGGCTATTACTAATGTTAATTAATTAAAACAATTATTAAATAAGGGGTTTTTCTCTAGTTTTGCAAGACTAGAAACTTAAGTAATTACTTAAAAACTTAGCAAAGAACAATTAACGACTAAAAGAAGAACAAAAGAAAACTAGATTCAATAATATTAAAGAGACTTCCGTTTAGATTCAATTCACTTATTCATATGGTTGATTTCGTGGCAAGTGAAATTGATTAATATATCATTAATTACCGATTTCTAATGTGATTAAGTTCATGTTCACTATTACTAATCCTTTAGCAAACAAATCAATTCAACCGGTGATAAAGTGATTAAACTAAAGAGATTACTAGTGTTCAGTTAGAATCAAGCAAGACTTGTAATAGTAGTTAATTAAATTGGTTGGTTCAATTAACTTATACATGGTCGGTCATCATATATAGCTTACACATTAATTTACTTATTCTCTAGTTAACCCTAGGTTATGTTCACAACACTAAGCTCATAATCTTGTTTTCACAATATCATAAGAGGCAAGCAATGAAGAAGATGTTCATACAATCTCAATTTACTAGTAATCAACAGAAAATAATTATCATTAACACATAAGGTTCTTTTAACAATCTTAACATGATAAATAATCAAATCAATATAATCCAAAGCCACTAAATCAAACCATAATCAAAAGATCCTCTACTCTAAAGTAAAGTAAGGTTTTTAGCCCATGACTTTAGCAGAAACAATCATAAAAACGAAATTCATCAATGCAAACATGATGTAAACAAAGGAATTAAGTAAGTTACTAATAATTTTTGCCATAGATCTCTTCAATTCAAAGCTTCTAGTTGAATTCAGAAATCCACAGCTCCTAGGGATGTCTCTGGCCTCCAAAAGTCGATAAAAACTCCAAGCCTTCGTTAGGGTTTCAAACAGAAACGATCCTTAAATAGATGTTAAAAAACGGTGCAACACGTCATGTTTATGGACTCAACATGTCGTGTTCTTCATTAAAAACACGTGTATGGCAAGACACTATTTTATTGGGATTTTCCATATCAACACGCCGTGTTCATGGATAACACGCCATGTTCTTCTGCATTTTCATCTTCTTTCTTCAAAATCTAAAATCCAAGCTTCCAATCGTCAATTCCGCTTCCTTTTCCTTCCGAGCATGTCTTTGTTGCTGAAAAAGAAATTTTAAACTAATTAACTACCTTTTGTTAAATATTTGAGACAAAAACAACATAAAGTATTAAGATAATGCATGAATTATAAGACTAAATATGCCCATATCATGCTCCCAAAGCGAAGTGTTTTGAACCACGTTCCCGCATAGCCGTCTAGGGTTGTCGGGAAATACGTACACCATAATCGCTCGTTCAACTTTAATGAGGTCATCGTCCATTCGTACATATCGATGTGGATATCTGGATCTGTGAATCCGTTGTAGGTTTTAAGGTGTGGCTACTTCACTGTATTTGGGATTTCATAGCCTAAGAGTTCCTTAGCAAACAGAGATGTCACGCTCCTCGACAAGCAATCTTGGTTTGGGATTGGAAAGACGTTGTGAGGGTTGAACTGTTGAGCTGTGAGGTATGGTTGTACCAGCATGTTGTTGTACGCTGAGAGGTGTCCCGATTTTGGGCCATAAAAAATTTGTTTTTGGAATGGGAAAATTGGTGGTTGGGTTGCAAGGAGTGGCGGGTTTGATACGAACAAGTGGTTTGATGTGAACATCGAGTAGTATGGGATCGTCGTTGAGAATGGTATGCTTGTTGTGAACGAGGATGTTTGGAAGGTCGCTGTTTGTTCTCCTGTCACTTGGTTTAATGGCGTTGCTTGTGGAAAAGTGAACATACCGCCAACGTTCTCCACCGTTGGTGGTTTCGTACTGCTTGAGATTGTTTTTAGTTGTTAGCTATGTGATGAGGCAATATGCACAAATACGGTAGCAGAGGGCATCAACCCTTCAATGACTGGTCTCCATGGTTCACTCATCGGAGCAGTGGTCATTTTCGAGCCTCTTTGTTGTGGTGCTTCACCGACAACCGTCGTTGGACGCTGAGGCGTTGAGGTGCGAGTGGTGATTGATTCCAACGACATCACGGATCTGATAGGGCTCGCCGATGTTCCACTAGCCCCATCGGTGTTATCGGTTGTCATCTTCGAGTGTTGGGAGGTGTAATTTTGTTTGTCGTTCATCACATGATGCGACCTGGTCCTCTGACGATACTCTTCAAGGGTTCTCATTACTCCGACTAACCTACAAGGTCATAACAAGGAGAAACCGTCAGCCGTTCTCCGGGAGGGGATCCTTGGAAAACGCTCTGACGGTCAAGTCAGTAGATATACTGGGGTTGTTTGAGGTGAACTGAGAGAGAGCGACTTACTCTTCCAGGCACTGGAGGAGGCATTTTATACTAAGGTCTCCTGGCAGTCCGTACAAGACAAGGGCGTCAAACCCGACAGGATCGGGCGTGCTGATTAGGCAATCGTGCTCCTTGTTTCATCATAGCTAACGATTGGTTCGGGTGGCACTGCGCTGAGCATCTCCTTTTTTGTTTGGAGTTGTTATGCTTTTTCGTCGAGTAGAAGGCGCCCCTGGCGGAGCCGGGCCTTCTCCATGGGTGCCTGTGCTTAGGGGGTGTCCGCGGGCACAAGGTTCCGTTGGGATGGCTATATCGGGCGTAGTTCTGCCTTAGGGAATTCTTAGGGTGTCTGAGTGCGGCTTCTGGCCCGTGCTGGAGGGCAGGTAATCACTCTTGTACTCGTGTTACTCTCATAATCTTTGTAATATCAATTTAAAACCAATAAAACACATCAAGGCAGGTGATTATTATCACCTCCCAAGGCTTTATACCGGAGATCCTACAAAGGATCAAGGGCTTTCCTTGTAACTCACTTGTCCCACTTTGATTACCATTTGATACCTACATTACACTAACACCACATCCTCTCATACTATTTGGTCGAATTATACTTGATCAATTTTTGATTAAATTTGGCGCCCACCGTGGGGCCGTGGTGTTCATAATCGCTCGAGAATCATGTCTACCCAACCGTGCTTATTCTCTTCCTCAAATCCTCCTATTTCATCTAAAAATCTTCCTCCACCCCTAGGTGGAGCTCCCAAGAAAACCTCTGAGGCGCCGAAGAAAAACACATCTCCGGTCGCTATCCAAGGATTTCAGGATCCTCCTGTATTGATTTCCAATAACGAAATCCTTGCTATGTTGACCTAGTAAGTTTGGCTACAACACATGTGGGTTATTTGTGATTTAAGTAAATATCAAATTTTAGTATGTAGTTTAGTTTAACCAAACGATGAATGGAATTGTAATTTACATATTCTAAAGGGTCATGCCAAGCATTTGAAAACTCAAGCATATAAGTAGAACTAGCAATTGTTTTCATTCATTTTGGTTGTCACCATTACATATATTTTGAACATGTAATTCATAGCATAACGTTTTCCAACAAACATACCACTTTTAGATAAAACAATCTTTTCCGAGTTAACCACATGTTTAAAACCAAACTTATTCAACAACCATCATGACACAAGATTCTTATGAAGCTCTTGTAGATATAAAACATTCTTAAGCTTCAATTATTTCCTTGATTTCATTTTCAGAATAAAGTCTCCAACACCCTTGATGTTTGTTTTGACTGCATTCCACATGAAGAGCTTTTGATCATCATCAACATCCTTGTAAACATTAAAATTTCTCTTTTCATGACACACATGACATGTAAATCTAGTGTCAATCCATCATCCTCTCCAATTTTCATCCAATAGGTTAGCCTTTGAGACCATAGCCATAAGATCAATAATCATGGCCACTAAATCCTCATCATCATTCACCATGTTCGCTCAACGAGTATTATCCCGTTTAGTTTGCTTGCACTCAAAAATTTTATGACCCGATTGATCATAATTATAGAATTTCTGAAAGTTCCAGATGTAGGACCCATGTTCTTAGCCTTTCCTTTCCTTTGTTAGCCATCTTCCACTTATTCTTGGAAGACTAGTTGGTGGTTGTCGAGGCCAACAAAATTAATAACCCTAAATATTTTACACTAAAATAGTGTATAATGGTAAAAGGGTCGAATCCGCGGAGATTGGTTCAATTTTATAACTCTATGAAAAAATCTCTTTGCAAAAGTACTTGTAAAATGACAATAAAAATAAAAAAGGGGGTTTTGATCTTTTTGAAATACTTAAATTAAAACTGGAATTAAACAAAAACTTAAATGGACAATTCAACAAAAACAAGAATTTGATGTAAATCAATATGAGAAAAGTGGTTAACTTAAGGTTTCCTCATTTGAACATTTGGTGAATATATCATTAGAATCCAATTGTGCAATACTTGTTTTAAACCCTTAATTTTGCTATAGTAATCCAAGAAGCTTGAAATTACCTAGACTTTTCTTAGTTGTTAAAATGGTTAAAGAAGCTCATAACAATTTCCTTAGTCAAAGTCACAATTTCCATTAAGCATGTAATTAGTGAAAGTCAACTAGCATTAAGAACCAAAAAGTCAACAAATCCAAGAGGAGTCAAATGCTTTCACTACCATGTTGGAGAAAATGCTTTTATGATTGTGTGAAGCAAAACCAACACAAAAATCATTTGTCGCTTGCTAATTTGGGGATCCTTTACTTAATCAAGAAATTAGCCAACTAATCACCACAAACACATTTAAACTCATGAATAAAAACATACAAGTAATGATAAAATGTTAAAACACAAAACATTCTCATAAAGATTCAAGAACAAGTTCATGGAGTCTTCAACATTCAACAAACATTCAAAAGATTTCACCAAAGTCAACCAAGTTTAGTTTAGCCTAGCATGGCTAAACTCAAGAAAACAAAGTAAGGAAAAAATTGTACCAAAGATTTAACAAGATTTAGAGTTGAAAAGATGATGTTCTTCAAGTGTTCTTGGCCTTCAAAACCTTCAAAATATCCAGAGAAAATGCTCCCAATTCAGATGTGCAAGAGTGTAGAAAAGTGGCACACCAACCTTCCCCATATAGACTTCCAATTGAAATTCCGAAATTGCCCCTGATGTGTCGTGCACGGCCGCCGAGCTTTGTGTGGGTGGTATCTGATTGTGGGTTTCTTTGAGTATTGGGCCTCCACAGCTTAGCCCATTGGCCCATTTCGAGTCTGATTAGCTTCTAGCCCATTTTTCTTCAAGTTCTTTTTATGTTAAGTCGAATATGGCTTCTCCAAACGATCCATAGCTCCCGTAATCGTCCGATCAATAATCTACGCACGTTCGAAAATTCTCCCGTATCTTGCAAATTTAAAGTTTATTTCTTCCAAGCCTTCAATTAATAAGCAAGCCCACTCCAAGCATCAACTCCATTATTATCAAGCCCAAGATCCTTGTTGTCCTCCAAGTCCATCGGCTTTCCATACGTCCCGAACATTCCCGCTCCGCTAGTCTCCTTGAAATCTGCAATAAAGCTCACGAAACTAGAAAGTATCCGAAATAGTCATAAAATAACAAAAAATGAAAATATGCATGGAAATTAACTAAAAAATAAATGAAATATACTAAAATAAACTATAAAAAGAAGTAAATAAAATGAAACTGTCACTAGCCAACTTCCACCATATTAACTTTTGAATAATCGACACTGTAATCATTCTTCAAAGTCACTCAGTTATCTTCTTCAATTCAAAGACGCACCACTAGCTCCTCCATATAATCTCCTTTTGCTTATGTTATGGTAGTTTTTGAAGTCAATCCAACTCGGAGGAAGCTGTTTAATCATATCTACCACTTGGAAAGTCTCACTAAGAGCCATTCCTTTGGTAAGTATATCATGTAACACGACCTGAATATCTTTAACTTGATTCATAATAGATTTTGAATCAATCATCTTCAAATCCATGAATCTTGAAACAACATGCTTCTTGGTTCTGACATCTTCGATTTTATATTTCCAATCTAAAGACTCCTAAAGTTCCTTAGCCGATGTAACTTTTCAAAAACCTTGTAAAGTGGATCGGCTAGCCCATTCAATACATAGTTGCGAGATAGAAATTCTGAATGCATCCAAGCCTCTACCACACTCACAGGTTGAGCATTGACTTGTCCATCGGCAAGTTGAGGAGCAGATTCTGTAGGGAACCAAGCCAAATCAAAGTGGTCAAGTAGAAGAACATCGATCTTCTGTTGCAATCACTTGAAACTCAAACCATAATATTTTTCTGGTTTCTCAGCATGATTAGCCATGGTGTTTGGCATATGAGTGGTAGCATTATGGTTCATAGTTGTGGTATTATTTTGGTTTACATAAGGATCCACCATTCTAAAAATGTAATCCAAATGAACAATTAGAGTCACAATAAGAATCTATTTACACAAAACATATTTTATTTATAGAAAATAGATATAACACGGTTAGTAGAAATAAAACGAAATAAAAGATTTAATCAAAACAGTTTATAAGACAACGAATCCGTTTAAGACTGTTAATAAGATATAAAATAAATAATTCTGGTAAACAATTTAGAAGATGCAGAAGACGAAAGCAAACATATTAAAACGAGTTGAGGCTCGTATTTGACACGATTCCCTTAAACAGATTCACTGTCTGTTCCCAAGGTACAACAACCTAAGCAGATGTACTTTCGTAGATAACCACTTGTCTGAAATTGTTGTTGGAAATTCGTATGTGAGGAGAGAGTATTTTTCATAGCTATGCAACTGTATTGGAATAAGAACCAAAGGATTGTATTTATACTAAAGATTGCAACGATCACACTACCATGGTTACACTCACTAAGAGTTTACTTCTTAGTTCTATATGAGATACATTCCCACACCCATTTGTTTTACCAAATTTTATTCCAAACACTCAACTTTGAGTATCAATATCTCATTCAATCATACTCCGTTTTGGATGCATCATATATTGTTTCAAAGATCTCACGGAGAAGAACATAACTCATTAAGGATTAATAATATTTACAATAGGTGTATATATATATATATATATATATATATCGGTTTTGCAGAAATCGGTCTTGGCAGCCGATTAATCGGGGATTAATCGTTTGACGGTCTGCAACCGATTACGATTAGGGTGCTCGGCGAAAATCGGTCAAAATTGGGTTTGACGGTCCTTGGCGCTCCAAGGCGGGAAAATTTTAAAAAATTCAAATTTTCAAATTTTCAA